AGTTTAAAAGATAAAAACTGCCCACTGAAAGCCAAACCTCAAAACTACCTGGTTACTATTACAGCCTAAGAGGCTGCCTTAAAATCAGTGGGGTCCGACAATGGTCCGGCTTTCATAGCCCAAGTTACTCAAATTTGCCCAAGCTCTCCAAATTGATTGGAAGCTTCACTGTGCCTATAAACCTCAGAGCTCAGACCAAATAAAAGATAAACCAGACTCTAGAATCCATTTTGGATAAACTCTCTTTAAAACTGGCAAAAGCTGGGTGAGTCTCCTTCCTTGTGCCCGTGTAAGCGCCAAATGGCCCCTTTGTCTCTAAAATTTCCCCTTTCAAGACGATGTCTGGGAGACCTCCTCCACTTTTGCCTCGCTTGACAAAAATGGCTGAGATTGCTAAGCAAGATCTCATTAAGTCCCTCCAGGCCCTCCAGCCAGTGCTTGCCTCCATCCCCTGGGTTTTTAGACAACAACACCCTGCTCCTGACCCTCTGGTCCCTGGACTCTACCAGCAAGCCGCTGAGCCAAAAAGCCAAGTGCTACTCAAACGTCTGGATCTAAAAGGACTGGAGCCTTGGCAGGAAGGGCCATACACCGTGATACTCAGCACCCCCACAGCAATCAAAGTTGCTGGGAAGTCCGCCTGGATTCATCATACCAACTTCAAGATATCACCCCCAGATGAATCCACTGACCATCCAGCTAAAGATAAGTGGACAATTAAGGGAGACAATCCCTTGAAGGTTAAATTGAAAAAATGTACATAATCTTTGTGCTAGTATTACTTTCGGCTTGCTTGTTATGCCCTGATGAAGCTATATCCTGATCCCATGTCCCTGTTTATGGAACTTGGCAAATTACTGATTATGCAACTGGTAAGGTGCTTGCTAAAAATGAAACTGTGCATGCAACTTTAACTATAGATCTATGTACGCTTTTAAATTCCCATGTTCCTCCCCCAAGAATATGTCCTAGAAGTATCCGTTCCTCAATGTGAAAATCTACAGAGCCAAAAAACTTTATAAAATATTGGATGGTATATTTATCCTCAGGAACAAAAATCTCGTACTGACTGTGGTACGTATAGTGAGACTGAGTATTTCTGCTATGCGTGGGGTTGTGAAACTATTAGTCCATGACATGGTTCTAATGCAGATGATTGGATAAAAATTATTTTAAAAAAACAAAACAAAATCAAAAACATGTTCCTTAAACCAATGTAACCTTATGACATTCACTTTTAAACATTACCCTGTTAAATACTATAAGGGAAAACACTATGACATAAGATTATCTGTGTCAGGCCCTGACCATGGAAATTCCTTTACTATTCAATTCATCCCTGGGAGCCGGCTTGCACTGGCCCGTCCTATTGGGCCATTAGCACCACCACAACCTCCAGCACTACCCCTCAGGACTTCTCACCCTTAAGCTCTCAACCCACTTCAACACCACAAACAACTTCTCCAATACCCTTAGACACATACCCCGATGAGCCCTTTGCTCCCCTTGATATTAACTTTCAATACTTAAACAAAACTAACCTTAATCTAACTGTCAATTGCTGGCTTTGCCTCTCCCCTCATCCTCCTTTTTATACAGGGACTCCTGTCATCTTTCCCTTGTCTGAGGTCCAAAACACTTCTCTGGATGAGCCTACTTGCTGGTGGGGACAAAGACCTTTACTCACTTTAGGGGCTGTTCTACCCATTCCTGGATCTTTTTTTCTGTCAGCCAGTTATAAACTCTCAGGCTCCATTTATGCTGGCTCTTGTCATACTAACCATACGACATATATCCAGAATATCACCTATCCACACAGTCAACACCTTACAGCTCCAGATGGAGTTGGTTTGCATGCTCTTCAGGCATTACCCCTTGTATCTCACTCCAATATTTCACCCGTGTACCTGAACTCTGTATCCTAGTACACATATTGCCCCAGGCCTATTGGTATTTGAGAAGAAGGATTTAGACATTTAGGACCAACTACCGGTATGTTGTCCCGATATACTAGAGCTGCTCCTGTTTTAGTTCCACTCCTCCTTGGGATTGGAGTGGCTGGGTCTACCGAAATAGGAACAACAGGGTTAATATTATGAGACTCAAATTTTAAATGGTTGTCAAAGAACACTACTTCAAAATTCAGTCACCCAACAAGAAGAATCACTAAGCTCCTTAGCCGAGATGGTTTTACAACACAGGAAAGGTCTAAATCTCCTCTTCTTAAAAAAAAAA